TTTTTTTTTTTTGTGATAAAATAATAGCAGAAAAAATTTATTAAGAATTCTGTTATACTCATGAGCGAACTACTTGAACTGATACCTATCATTTGAGCTCACAAGAAGGTCTGGGTAAGACTAGAACAAAGCCTAAAAGGGTTTGTTTTCATAGGTCTTTGAAGCTGAGTTAGGATCGTTTTATTGAATTTTCAACACGGTTGTATATACCAAAACAAAATTTTGACGTGAAATTTTGCTCATTAGAAAAGACAATCGTTTGTTACAGGCATCGTACAAAAATTGAGTTTACTTGAAAATTCAATATCTTGATAAAGAAACATTCGTTTTGGCCTATGAACAAAATTCTGCTTTTTGATATATATATATCTAAAGTTGAATTGAAAATTCAGTAAAACAATCCTAATTTAACTTTAAAGACAAACTCTTTTAGACTTTTTCTAGTCTTTCCCAAGTCTTTCTTGTAATCATGATAGAAATTCAAACGACACGTATCAATTCAAGTGATTCACTCGTGAGTATAATCGAATTCTTAATAAGTTTATCTCCTATGGACTTTGTCATCAGGCAAGCTTAAAAAAAGAAACCACTTTGTACTTTTCTAGGTCGCGGTTAGACAGCTCTAATAAGATTAGATATTTGTTGTTATTGTCTTTTATCATAAAAAGAAAAAGAAAATTCAATCAAACATTAGTCCAATCAAAAAGAAAAATTACAAGCTAGAATTGTTGAAAAGTATGCATTCGGAAAAAGTATCCGTGAAAATTTCATTAGTACATGATGGATGTAGGTGTGAACATGTTGATCTTATCTTTTTCCATGCTCTAGATTTTTATTCATCGATATTTTGTCCTTCTATATTCGATCGAAATTAAGATTATCATGAAAAATATATATATATTGGTCAACAGCTTATCAATCTCCATCAATGTGTTAAGAAATAAATGAAAACTTTGTCAATTGAATTAGCATTCCCACATGTTATTTATTTGCGAAAAAAAAAGAAAAAAAAAATAGTTCAACTACAGTATATTATTAAACACCAGCAGTGTGAAATTAGTACAAGAAATAATTGAAAACAGCACGAAAAGATACACGCAAATTGACAAGAATCAATTGATCTTTTGTTTTTGTTGGTTATAAAACAAAAAAACAAAAGATAATATTGAATTAGAGAAGAATCTTGTAGAGAAGAAAACATCATAAAATCCTGAGTTTACTTTATACAAGACTAAAAACAAAAAAAATATTTAGCTACTTAAATATATTCCATCTACTCACTAATTTATTTCGAAATAAAATAATAAATGAATTAATACTGGTAAAACTTTTTTTTTTCATACGAAAAAAAAAAAAGAAAACAAAGAAAAGAAAATTTTCGCCACTTTTGTTCTCCCCTTTTGTTGCGTATATATAATCACAGACTTGCAACATAATAAAAATGAATAAAACTATATAAGAAAAAGTCTGTTTGTTCGTTTTTTTCACTAATTTAGTTTTTATTTTTTTTGTTTAACTTTGCCATTTAATATGTCCATATGCTTGAAGACCTGATAATGTTAAATAACCAATCCAAAGAATCACAAAAAATATTGAACATATATATTTAGGTATTGTTGGTCCACCTGAAAAATTAAATAAATAACAAAACTAAAATTTCTTTTATTTTTACCCAATTCTGCTTTGCCAAAAACACCCAAAAATCGACGAAGTGTAAGTACAACCATACCAATAATACAACAAACAGAAAAGACAAGTACACTGAATGATAAATCACCTGCTTTAACCGTAAATGGAAGATTCTTGAAAAAATAAAACAAACATAATTTTGTTTTTCTTCTATGATTAAATCTTTTAATTTTCTTACTTTTGATTCCCAATAAATGGCAGCAACAAGCCATGGTAGACCAAGACCAAGAAATACATTAACACTATTTGAACCTGTAACATTTCCAATAGCATCATCAGCTGTTTTTGAATTTTTTGCTGCAATCATTGATGCAAATGTATCAGGTAATGATGTACCAAGTGCAACAAATGATATAGCTGTTATACTATCTTTTAATCCAACAAGACAACCAAATATAGCAGCAACATCACCAACAATAGCCGTAAGTATAGCAATAAATAAAAGTGAAACAAAAAATGTTAACCAACCACCAGCTATTGATGTTGGTGGTACAAATGCAAATAGAACTTTCCAAAAAAATGCTAATGTATGACCAATATAATGGCCAACTTTTGCTGTTTCAATATCACCACCATTAACATTCATAGCTTCACGAAATTTTTGTCCCCATGTTGTTTTTGTTACACTTAATTTATCCATATCAACTTGAACAAGTGATGCCATTTTATTTGCCATTGTTTTATAATCTAAAAAAAAAACAAACAATTTTGCAAAATGTAATTTATTATTTTTTTTTTTAATTTTTTGTAAATAAACTATACCATCATCATTTATAATTGTTACAACTGTTTTTGCATTTTTTCCTATATTTGCACCACCTGTTGCATCATATAATTCAACAGCAAAACTTTCATCTTTTTCAGCTTCAAGATCATCTACAATTGGTATAGCTATAACTTTTGATATTTCACCATGTTCAAATATTAATTCACTGTCAACAGCTAAAATAAAAAGAAAATAATAATGAATTGATTTTAGAATACATTCCGAAATAGATACAATCTTCCTGTGAATAACAACAGTGTCTGCATATTTTTATCCTGTACTAACAGCTTTTTCGAATATGTGTACAATTAGTGTTTTATCGAGATTTTCTCTTCCGGAAAGATAACTTATAATTCCGAGAAAACAAACATCTATTTTTGAAAGCACAGACATATCGTACAATAATCACCAAATCGATCTTCGGTGGCTCTCATACATGGATAAAACATTGCATTTAATTTTATAACTCTAGTAGTTTGCAATTGTTCACTTAATTTATTAGTCCGGCATTTCTGATATTTTTTTTTTCAACCGAACTAAATCGACCAGTTGAGATTCTTAATTTCTAGAAATCGACAAGTTCGAGTATAAATATTTATTCTGTTACTGGAATGTTGTTCTCAAATTTTTCCGATAGCTCAATACCCAGAACAGATCTTTTAATATGATTTGATCTGGCAGCTGGCCGACTTCTATTGACTTAACCAATCGGTTGACTGGTAAAAAAAAACAATACTAAGAATAAACGAAGAATCTTTTTAAAATTTTTCATTCAATAATTGATATTGAACAATACTTTATTTTACTTGATTTTCTTCAATAAAGATATGACTTCATTATTTAGCATAATCGAAATGATAAAAAAAAAGAAGAACAAAATGAACTATGAAGTTCGATTTTTATACTTCGGAATCTTTTGTGATATTTTTAGTAATGAAAATAAACAGCGATTGACAATTGATTGAAATTAGTTCCAATTTTCGAGATGAAAAATCTGTACTTTAACTTCGAACAATTTGGTAGCTTTTTATGACCATAATCAATTTATTTAGTATGATCTGAGGTACTCATTATGTAATATATATATATATATATATATATTCATTCAGAAATATTCTATTAAGTCTATTTTGATCGCTAAGTAATCTCAATAATCTTCGAAAATTGTTTCTAACACATCAGGAAATGATATTTTATATTATCAATTATAATCTATTTTAAGAATCGATCTAATCGCTAAATAAAGCGTATTAATAAATATAATATATCTCATGTTAAAATTAACTAAAATCCGAACAATTAAAAGTGTGTCTCAAAATTTGATCTTTTCTTTTTTTTTTTTGTATTCATTTTCATTTTATAATGATATATTCTCTTTTGATTTTTCTACTAGTCCTCTATCTATAGTGTATATCTTAGATTTTTATCTCTTTCTATTGATACACACTCGCTATATAATTTCAAGTATATCGATTTTTCATATCCTATTACAAGTTTGATTTTCATTTATACATATTGATGTTACACCAGACTTCACTTTGAAATTTATTGAACATGTAGATAGTGTTATTAACATATATATATATATTAAAGAAGACGTTCATCTCAATAGTACAATAGATGAATTAATAGTCAAATCTTCTACTGTAGTAATACTGATATTAAGGATGATCAGGTGAATGAACTGGATGTGTTTTTGTGGGTGAATATGAAAGATAAGTGTGGATCGTAATACAACAAGATCTATTCTACTCTATAGACACACACAAACAGCTTTTATCAATTACATTTATGTGTATTGTATCATCTGTTTTATGTAGCATAAATTTCACTCTGACAGTGCGCATATGTTTTTTTTCTTTTTTTCTGCTTTGTTCTTTAAATGAATTTGTGCTATATTGAATTGGTGCATGTTATTAAGTTACCTTAAGTCATGTTGTGTGTTCCTATGTAATAGTATATTATAACTTCTTTTTTTTATACTATTAGAATAAAACTTAATACGAACGTAACTTCAAGATGTACTTTTAATTGTTCGGTCTTTTATTGTTTATAATAGTTTTTAGATGATAAATTCATTCAAAAAGAACAAAAAAATTATAAATTATTCTATGACATATTATTATCTATTCGATTTGTTAAAAAATCATTTGACTTACGTTGATAATCTTTTCTTGCTGTAGCATCAATATCTTTTGTTCGATAATGAACAGTAACTCGTCCATCAGCACCATTAATACGTGCAACTTTGATTTCTGCTTTTCCAACACTTTCTTTAACTAAAGTAATTGGCTCTTCGAATTGAATAAAACCAGGATCTACAAAAAAAAAAAAAAAAAAAAAAAAATTTAATTTTTTTGTTTTTTTTTTTTGTTTATTAAACTTATTTACCATCATCATTAATAATTGTAACAAGTGCAATTGTTTTTGAACCTACTTTTGCATGTTTTTCTTCACCTTCTGGTAATGATAATTTAACGAAAAATGTTTCATCCGGTTCCCATTGATTATCATCAATAACATGAATAGTTATTTTTTTCTCTTGTTGACCTGATTCCATTTTAAATTCTTCAGATAATTTTTCATAATCTTCACCAGCCGTTGCTGTACCATCAATTGTATCAAGTCTACAAATGAGTAATATCAATATAAACATAACTATATATACATATAAATATATATGTTTTGACAAAGTACATATTGTGCATGCGAGAATTTGTTGATACAAAAACAAATGTTTATGTCTATTTACAAGATGCAAGAGAAAGAGAGCTACAAGCATGCAAGTATTAAGCACTTAAATATATACATTCAAATAAATTAATGTTTAGTCTGTTTCTTTTTTTTGTTTTTGTTTTTTTTACTTTTTGGAAAACTCAACCTTCGACATGAAGTTTTTCGAGTATTTTGAAAAAAATCACACCAAATGATAAAGGGACAAACATTCACACAAAGACCAACCATTCATGGGACCTACCGAAAACGGATAGCAGAAGCAGTATAACCGTGTCTGGTGACGTCAACAGTTACACGCTGTTCACGTTCAAGTACAGCATAACTGGATGAAGCAAACTCAAGTATAGCCATATGTGGATTCTCATCAATATTAAATGTTGATGATCCTTTTCGACCACCATCTTCATGGTCAGTCAAAATGGCTCCACCAAATGGCTGCGGTTTGACAGCCCGTTGATATATCTAAACGAACCATGCTAAGTTACGATTATTCTTGCATTGTTAGATAAAATTATTTAAATCAGTGTTGAAGAAGAAGAAGAAGAAGAAGAAGAAGAAGAAGAAATAGATATTAAGTTAGAAAAGTTATATAAATATATATGGATGCATAGTATACTGTGCAACGTTGCATTGCATCATAGCCTAGGCGTTTATCAGTTTATATGTGGGTGAATGTAGACACCTGAATCGAACATTGACATCAATCGGACCAGTTCGTTTAACCATAACATCAATTTTTTGTTCACGCTCAAGTACAGCATATACCACAGCAGAAAATTCAAGTTTTGGTTGTAGTTCAATTTCTTCCGATATTTGTCGTCTTTGTCCATTCTCAATTGGACTACGTTCTTCCACTGCATTATATATCTGTTTTGATATTTACATAGATATGTTAATAAGTTTATCGAAATAAATTAAACGTAGAAAACAACAAACAAACAAGAATTTCTTTTTGTTTTTTATTTACAAACCTCTTGTAATTTGCCAGGTAAATTTGGAAATAACGATTTACCACCAGCAAGCATTCGTGCACCTTCAATTCGATATTGCATACGTGATCGAGGCATACTTTCACTTAATTTAGCTGCAAATAATTGTGCTTTATCTTCTAATGATAAACTTGTTGATTGACCAAGATCCTATTTTATTATTATTTCATAAAACAAAAACAAAAAGAAGTATTTTAATTTAACTATTTGTTTAAAATTAAATTAACTTACACGTAAAAATTGAAGAAGGTCTTCTTTACGAAAAACACGTTGATTACCAGTTTCATCTACTTCGGGTGGTGCTAAATATCAATATAATATACATTTATATCAGTTATTTTTTTAGCAAAAATTTTGATAAATTCCTACTTAATATAAGTGTTCGTTCTTCTTCTTCCATGTTAATTTCTTTTGAAATAAAAAAATTCTTTTCAGCCTAATAATAGACAAGAAAACAAAATTAATTGTCTTTCATAGGTTTTTCTTTTTCTTGTCATATTCATTCATTTACCAGATAAGCTAATATAACAACCAATGGAAACATAAGAAATGTAATAATTGCTTCCCAAAGATCAACAACATCTTTTGATATTACTGATAAAACAATGAATAACCATATATATGCAAAAAAACCAAAGAACGATGTGACCTATTTTAATTCTTATTAATTTGTTATGTTTCAATACACAAAAAAACAAACAAACAAAAGAAATAATATATATGTATTTACCAGAAAAACATTATATAACTTTATTCTTCTTGTTTCAGGAGCCTTTATCGATGAAATACATAAAGCACAGATCATTAAAAGATTGTACGCAGCAGAACCAACAACTAAAATAATAATGTTACTTATAGGCATTTTTACATAGGACTGGAAAACATGATATTTTTTTAACTTAAAAATATCTTATTTTCTGCTTAATGTAGCAGATCATCTGTCTCACCCATTTTCACTCACACTCACACCCACACCCATCTATTGATAATCGATAAAAATAGATTAAAAAAACTCAAAATCAAATAAAATCTGTCTTTTAAAGTTGACAAATCTGATTAAAGTCAGATTATAATAGGATCATTATAATTGATTTTTAATCTGATTCTTGATCCAATCTTTTTTTTTATATGGATATATATGCAGATATATTTTTTTTTCTTTTGATAAGAAGTTTAACACATTATGTATCATTTGATGCTGATTCCAAGTATGAAGTTAATCTTCAATAAAAATGTTTCTATGTGAAAACAAATGAGTTTTATCTAGAAAAATCTTTAGCTCAGCTCTGAAATGTTCATCTTCATTTGCACTAACACTATACAAGTGTTACAATCGGATGAGCATTCAGTAGGAATTTCATCTTTTTTTATTAGAATTGTAGAAAATTGATGTTAATGACGAATGACTTTTTACAAATCCGAAACAAATAAATGCGGACGCTTTTGTTTTTTACGAATCAATAGAGTGGAAAGATAGAATTTCAGATTATATGTAGTTTATTCTTTATTGTTTTTTATCTTTATAGTAGAAAAGACTTCTTATTCTTCCTAGCGGCAATAATGTTTTGTCTATATTCTTTGACTAATGCTAATGAGCGGAATGAAGACTTTTATGTTATTAAATAAACCATCTGTCAGAGTATTTATTATTCTATTTAAGTCATTAAATAGTACAATATCAATTTTTCATTTATTGTCTAACAATTAAAATCAAAATCTTGTATTGCGAACGTCCATTCATTAGAGTAGATATTTACTCTCTATAAAAAGCTACATCCTAACTAATTAATTAATTAAAAAACTAATAAATTTTTCGAAAATATTAATTAATCATTGACTAACTATTGTAAATTTTTTTTTCTACTACTGTATTTTTGCAAAAATAGTTTCGTATTCTATTATAAATAGCATATTAATTAATAACTACTAATTAAAATTTGTACTTAACAGAAAGACTATTTAAAAAATAAAAATGCTTTATCAGATCGTATCCTTATATTTTGAAATAGACAGAAAGAAGTGAGTATCATATTTTTCTAATTTCTATTTATTTACAGTCAATATTAACTAAATTTTCTCCGTATAAATATATTTCACAATTTAAATATATTATAAAGGATTAACCATAACAAATCTATTTTTATTTATCATTAATATGACCTTTTCTGCAGATGTTTGAAAATCATTACTATATAGAGACATTTGTTTGTTTTTTTTTTTTTTTTTGTCATAACAAACATAGATATCAAACTGACTTAACAATAAAAGGACAGATAACAATAATAATATCATGACCGTATCGTTTATTTATCTATAGGAAAAGTAAAAAAAAAAAATTCTCATGACATGTTTTTTGTTTTTTTTTTATATTGATTGATAAGAAACAAGAAATAAATTAATTATATCTTACTTGTTCCAGGTCCAAGTTCTCCTGCTTCAAAACGATTTCCAACAATTTCAATAATTGATAAAAGAATTTCTGGTGAACTTGAACCAAGTGCCATTAATGTTAAATTAGCAACTGTAGCATTCCATAATTGAACTTCAACAGTTAAATATTTATCTTTTTCTCCCGGATCAGGATAACGTATTTTTTGTTTTCTTGATGTTATTGTTTCAATAGATGACATAAATATATCAGCAATAATAGCAATGCCAAGAAAAAGATAAAGTAAAAATATAAAATAAAGCACTGCTCGTAATTGTATTGACATACATGCTTCAGTACCTATTTTATTGAACAAAAAAAAACAAAAAAAAAGTGATAAGAAATAATTAGAAAAAAAAAACAAAAAAGATTTAATTATTTACCAAATGGTAATATAAGACCACGACCTGAACATTTGAATCTTTGACAACTAACAGTAGTTAAATTAGCATATTCAGTAGACATTTTGCATATAAATTATGTGTAAATGTTCACATATCAGTTAAACGAAGAAAATGCAACTAAAATCATAATAAAATCGCGTCAGATTGTATACGCCTTTTTTTTTTTCTTTTGTCAAAAAATATATAAATACATTCTTGTAAGAAAAAAAAAAGAAAGAAAGAAAGAAAGGTACATAAAATCAATCTCTTTTTTTTTTCTTTTCTTTCAAAATCAAAATTATTTATAGCGAAACAAAAATTCGGTCAATTAGAAAAAAAAAAATTTTTTTTGTCCTCGACTCGCTCGATCTAAAAAAAACAACATATACTCGATTTTTCTATTATATATATAAATATTCTCATTTAATTTTTTACTAGAATAATAAGCATAAAAAAAGTAATAAACTGCTAATAGTCCAATCATATTGAATGTATAAATGATTAAAGGAGACAAGCTGACAGATGGCAGAACAAAAAAGAGTGTCAAAATTTGATAATATTAGTTGCTATAATTCATTTCTTGGTTGTTAACAACAACGACTTTTTATTTCCCTTTCTTTTTTTAAATGTGTCTATGCCTTTATCTTATATATTTGTCTATGTACTCTTTTTGTTCTTCAAAACTACGTCAAGAGTTGACAATGACAAACAAAAAAAAGAAGACTTATTAAACAAGCTCTTATCGTAGTGATTAATGATAGCATAAACACCCTACTTTCTTATGTAAAAAGATTTTTCTGTTTATATTAAAGAATCATTTGTCAGGAGTCAATATCACACTGTGAAAAGAAAAAAATATATATATATATATGATTACTTTTAGAATCGGCATGACGAATAAATCTATTCATACTCACGGGAAATATTTGGATTAATTTTTTGTGCTTTAATTCCTTCTTATATAAATAGATTCTTATTTACAGATATAGCATTTATGTCTATTAGTATTATTTTACATAGAGATATAATTTGTTACGATAAGAATTTGATTGATAATAGTAGTACCTTATTTGAAGAAAAAAAAAAGAAAGAATTACTTTACCGGAAGTCTAAGAATATATGCTAGATCGTAGGTAATAATAATAATGTGTACTAATTGCAAATTTGTCCGATGGTAAAGAAATGAAAGAATTATTGAATAGACTAATATGCAGCAATTTATGATAAAACAAGTTAACTATCAAATAGCAAGAGCTTACGAGAAGTTGTCTACGCCAAGAGTGAATAATCAAGCATAAATTACAGACGAAACGAGCATATAAGCCAAAATAGTTTTTTCTCGTTCTCTTCTCAACAGTGTAAATACTCCTATAATGTCGAATAGCAATGTGTAATACGTCTCTTTCGTTCTCTTTTCTTCTCTTTCTCTTTTTCTCTCTTGCCTATTTGCGCTTTCTACGCATTATAGAAACATGCAGTACCACAAAATCATGATGAAACATAGAAAAAATAATAGAAGAAAAAAAAAAAAAAAACTAAAGCGTGTACTCTTCTCTCTTTCTGCTATTATACAGAAACAGCAGGAGAATACGAGCTTTGGAATCTAATCAATAGATATATATATTGGTATAAAACGTTTAGTCAAATACTATATTATATATTAAAGCTAAAAAACATACGAGAAAAGAAGAAAAAAAGAATACTAAGTTTTATGGTTGACACCCACACACGCACACACGTATTCGATTTGCTTCATTGGATGGCCTCATTAATGACAACACCATAAATAGCGATATATGTTTTTTTTTTGTTTTTCTCCTTTTATGTATTTATCCCAAAAATTTTGACAAAAGTCTAAAATTCTAATAATTAAATGATCGATAAAATCAAATATTCTATAAACAGAATGTAACATTTACAAATCTTTTGATTGCATGATGATACTTACCTTTTTTTTTAAACATGTAATTCTACTGTCAGGAAAAAAATATAAACTACTTTTTTTGGTCCTTTTTTTTTGCTCTTATTCAAATATATGCTGCACTTACAATTAAGTTCTTCATATTTAATATAGTCATAAAAAGGAAAAAAAAAAAAGAAGAATTCTATGCATTGCATGCTCCGTTAATGTCCAACATATGTTTCTATTTTTAGTATATGCTGATATAAAAAAAAAAGCACTAGTTATATTGTATTCTCCAACTGAATGAACAAACTATTATAAGAAATTGTGTTGTAGAATAGTTCTCAACTAATACAAAAAAAAAAAAAGTAAATGAATAAAAAGATTTTTGTTTTTGTTTTGCTTTTTGTAAAGAGTCACGTGATATGTTTAATCCTATGTATAGTATAACTCAAAAATACCTTGTGATTATATTAAACAAAAGAAAGAATAATGACAAGAATATGACATATATGTAGTTAAAGGTATATAAGAAATACCTAAACGAAACTATTTATATTCATATATAAAGTTTACTAGTAGTTTAAGTATATTCTCGCGTTCGTTCTTTCGTTCGGTCATATTTATTGAAAGAGGACAAAAAGAATTGCAAATAATCAATGAAAAATTTTCTTTTTTTATGTGTGGGCGTGTATCGTGATGTGAGTTCATGACACATACGTATATATACGAACATTGAGGAATATTTCGTACATGTTGTCGTTGTACATAACAACAATTGTCATATATTATTTTACTTTTTTCTATATCATTAAATGTAATGATGAAAATATTATTGTACCATGTTTTACACGAAATATTAATGTTAAAATTGATGAATTTGATAATCGTATATCAATGAAATATATTAATTGTACACGACAATTAAAAAAACATATATTTACAATAACATTTGAAATACATCGACAATTGAAAAAATTTGATCATATATTTGAATCAAATATGGTTATAACACTTTTTGCTGGTCCATGTTCATCAAGTACAGCAACATTAAATATTGGTCGAACAATTCCATCAATTCATGGAACATTAGATGATAGTGATCCATCACCACTAGCTTCAAGTCATTTATCATGGAATGGACAATTACAAAAAGGAACAATTTCATATGAATATGGCGGTGATAGAGGAAATTTTGCACAACTTATATCAGCTCTTATTCATGTTGTTATTCGTTATGGAAGAGAAGAAATGATAAAAGGCATATATGTCATAAAATTTAATAATTAGAATATAAGAGTTTGCTTCTATTCCTCTATTATACTAAAAAGAAAACTACTTATGATAAGTTGAATGATGCTTAATAAAAGAAAAAAAAACTGAATTTCCTGAAGGACATAAATTTCCGTTTGCATGCTCTATTGAATGTGAATAAACGCAATTTATTTCCTTGAAGCTATTCATTTATGTCATAAATAAACATAATTAGAAATTTAGAATTTGGTTTTTTTTTTTGTGATGTTTTTTTTTCTGTATACATAAAATAAATAATCAATTAAAAATAAAAATAAAGTCAACAATTGATTTATTCAATCGAAATTTTCTAAATCTTTATTAATTGAAATTTAAGAAATAGATGAAAAAATTTTTTAAAAAAAGCAAATAATTACCTATGAAGTAATATGATATCAAAAATAATCTCTGTTTTTCGTCAAATATGACAAAGCACGATATGCAAAAAACAAAATGAAAAACAATTTATACCATAGGATTAGTACCTATATGCGATTGAATATATAAATAAATAGTCACACACAAAACAATTTTAAAAATCAGTACCTATCGATCATGTCGCATATTTATCGTATTATTCTTGCTATTTTTATTGTTTCACAAACAATAAATGCAGGTTTCTTTGATAAAGAAGGTCTTATTCTTATACCATCAGTTGCTTTTCGAGATCGTTCATCACCAAATGATTGGAATTTACATGCTCAAGGATGGTATTATGAAGAAAATCCTGTACAAGCATTTTTAATGGAAAAATCTTTAGAACTTGTCGTTCGAAAAGATTTAGATCGAAATCGTGTTAAAATGTTTACTGCTGAAGGTGAAGATGGCGAACAAATATGTATTAATGCCCTTAGTCGATCGATGTGTACTAAAACAGACAAGGAAGGACGTATTAAAAATAATTTCAAACTAACAAATCAAGAAATTGAAACACTTCGTCAAGTTAGTAGTGGTGGTGGTAAAGTATTAGTTGACGTAGGAGTACAAAAGAAAAATCTTAAAGGAATAAATGAAATATTATTATGTGATGATAATGGTCTAACATTTATAAGTGATATTGATGATACAGTTAAAATAACTGAAGTAACATCATCAACACAAACACTTATTAATACATTTAGTGGTGATTTTAAAGCTGTTGAAGGTATGGCAGAAATTTATCGTCATTGGGAAAAACAATATAATGCAACATTTGCATATTTAACAGCATCACCTGATCAATTATATCCATTTTTAAGAGAATTTTTTGATCGTGAACAATTTCCAATTGGTTCAGCACATATGAGACATTTTACATGGCTTGATAAAAATTTTATAACATTTTTTATGTCATCAAGTTATATGTCAAAGAAAACTGAAACATTAGAAATGTTTTTAAAAAATACACTTAATCGTAGATTTGTTTTACTTGGTGATGTTTTTCAAAAAGATCCCGATATATATGCAGGTATTTATGGTCAATATCCTGATCGTATTGAAAAAATTTTTATTCGTAAATATGATAATGATGTTGTTGGACAAGAACGACTTGAAACAGTATTTAAAGATGTACCACGTCATAAATGGGCAACATTTGAAAAAGGTTCTGATTTACCACGAAATATTTTTTAAATATTAATTAAAATTGTCTTTGATTTTTTTCGAAATTAAAAATAAAGATAAAAGAAAATATTCATCAATAATATACATATGATATTGTTATAGATAGATATTCATGAGAAGTTCAATTTGCAATCTAACATAAAATTCAGGTCATTCTTGAATTGATCAATTATCATACGTTCTATCTAAGATTTACTTGGAAATTTTAGACGAATCTCAAAATTATCTAGGTCAATTGCGGATTATACGGTCAAATTCGAATCTATCTAGGCCAATATTAAATCGACTAACTTACTATATTAAAGCCAAAGTTAATCATAGCATGTGAAAATTTATTTTCAACAAATAACACAAAAAAATAAAAAAAGTAATGAAGAATATGAATGCACTTGTTCTGTTCGCCTTACATTCTCACAATAATTGAGATATAAATTAACTTTTTCGAAGTTTTTCATCTACAGTTTTTGAACTACATGAATATTATCTTCATATAGAATACAATATACTTAGTCGTTTATTTGAGATTGAACAGTAATATATCACTTCAATTATTATACATACATAATGTATGTCATAAGATTATTTTATTAGTTGTTGAACGTATAAACTTAATCATCTACTTAAAAGTTCTTTTTATGAATATTAAATTAAATTCTCATTTTTATATGTTTTGATTGACTTACAATTAAGTATTATTCTTATTCAATAAAAAAAAATTAGTATTTGATTTTTTTTTGTCGTACACCTACGCAATGATCTAATATGACATTTTAAGTTTTGTAAAAAAAAAAAAAGAAAAAATGTGTAACATGAGAATATCAATTTCATCGAATTTACGTCGTTCTATCAGATAATTCGACATGCGAGTATTGTTACACTTTTAAAATAACCTTAAAGAGAAAAAAATACACTTGAAAACTGAGACGAACGTAACCAGGCACATATCTCGTCAGAGATAAAAAAAAAAAGAAATAAAGAACTAGATGTTGTAAATAATTACTCTTACAAAATCCGTCATTTCGATGCGGTTAGAACGGACTGTTAATTTTTATATTGAAATATTTATAAAGAATTCAAGTCAAAGTTATAAACATTGAGTTCTATTTAATAACGAGCATCTGTTATATAATAAGTGTTATTATTATTTAATGCAGATTAAATTGAAAGTGTCTATAATTGGATACAAACAATTACTATATTATCATTTGAATTGAATAGAAATTATAATATTCACAGATAGATTAATTATCATATTGTTATATACAAAGAACTTCTTCGAAATATTCATCTAGATGGAAAAATCTAACGAAGATCTGATTGATAATTCGATATTATAAAATTCATACTATATGATGTTACAAAATTAATCAAATATCTTACTGTAAAATTTAATATTTATCTAATTTTATAAGATGATAATTTTTAAATCTTACTTATATAAATATTAGTTTTGATAATGATTATTTTGTGCCTTTAAATAAATATTTAAACAATTAAATATGTTCTAATTTATACGGTAGTTGAAAATATATTGTCTATGTAGTGGTGCTGATCTACTCAAAAAAAACAACATATCACTCCATAGATAATTCAATGAGTATTTGATCTTACTGAAATTGGTTTTATTAATCTTCTTTTGTTATGTTCCGTCGCATACTCTCGAATAAATTCCTTTCATTTTCGTATATATATATTCATTGGTCACAAGTTTCTTGAAATCTTCTGTAGTATTCCCCATTGACATCATCGTAATAGTATAATAAAGATCTTTGTTTTTTATCATCTATTATAAAATATTTAAAATTAAATTATCAGCAGTGTGTCGACTCATGTTTGAAGTACAAAATGTTCGTAATTTTCACATTAAAGTATTAAAATTTTAAACTTAAGATGAAGATTTTTCATTCATAGTCAAGTCTAGTAGTAATTCATGTTTTATACTATGGTACGGCTGTCATGGCATAGTTCAGCATATATCCACTACGTACTATGTTGAAACCTTAGTATCACCGGCGAAGTAATAATCTTGGACAAGTCAATAATGGTCGTTTGTCTCTGATCATGCGTTTAATAGCATATTGACTAATCAAGAAAACTCTTCAGATGTTCCCTCTCGATTTCAATGATTTTTTTACCTATAGATCCTACATAATGTTCTAATAAAAACCATAAAAAAAAATATTTGGACTCCTATTTAGATTTGATTAAGCTATCGAATTTTTTCCTAGACGTCTCAGGTTTTCGAAAAACTCCTTTTTTTCGAATTTCGATCAGAGACTCTGCACATATAGTGAACTTAACTAGACTAATCTCCATAACAGAAAAAATCTAGATGTTTTCAATAAAATCTCTTCGAGATATAAAGCATTCAAAAAAAAATGCATACACTATCTAGGGGCAAGGATCTATATATTGAAAGGCCCCATATCTCGAAGAGACTTTGTTCAAAACTTTTGAACTTTTTTTTTTTTTTGTGGAAGTTAGTCTAATTCGGTTCTCTATATGTACAAAGTTTCAGATCAAAATATGAAAATACGAGTTTTCCAAAAACCTGTGGTGTCAAGGAAAAAATTCGATAGCTTAGTCAAATTTCAATAGGAGGCGAAATTCTTTTGAGAGATTGTATTAGAATACTATACAGTATCTATAGACAAAAAATCAGAAGGAAACATTTGAGAAGATTTCATTGTGACTAGTATTCGGTTAGTTAGTACCATTAGCAGAAAAGATTTCCAGTTAATAAATTTGCCGCTAGGTAAGACTGTTCTTTTTTTTCTTTTCGAATCTTGCACAAGTAAATTTCAAATCATTTCAAAAACTTCATTATGATCAATTATAAAGAACCTTCTTATTATCCAAAAGTTGGTTTTTGTACAATATAAAGAAAAAAAAAAGTGCCCTCACAAAGAAATCAACAGGGCTTAATAATAGACAGGAGAAAAAAAACCGACGAAGACAACAAAAGAACATTATATATATATATGTATATAAAGAAAATAATAAAAAAAAGAGAATAATTAGTTTGGTTGAGACGCAACAAAGAAAAAAGAAAAGAACAGATGAAAATAATATGAATGAATGACCAGATAAGATAAACATACATCTTTTCGTCTTAATCTAGGTGTTGTTAACAATTTTCTTTTTCAATATATAGACAAGAGAAATAATATAAAATAAACACACACACACACACAGATATAGAATCCTGTACAAAAAACTAATTTAGTTAAATAGATAATTAATCATAAAGACCCGGTGGTGATGAAGGTAATCGAGGAAAATTTTGTTCATCATTTGGAATATTCGATGATTGATGAATAAAATTTTTTCCTGTTGTAGGAGTTGTTACTGGTGATGTTGATGATAATGGAACAGTTGCATTATCATTTGTTATTATATTAGTTGAATATGTTCTTCCAGATCCATCTTATTTAAATAATTTAATAAAAAAAAACGAAAAAATAAAAAAAAGATTATTCATATTTACCAATAGAATTTCGTGTTTCATTTGTTGTTACTATTTGTTGATTATTTGAATTTGAAGACATACTAAATAAAAGATGTTGACTTATTTGTTTACATTCACCACCATCATTTGTGTTTACTTCATAAACACAAACAACACCATCATAACCAGCAACAAATAATTTTAATGTTTTATTTAATCTTAAAAAATATTAAATTATAAAATATATTTAATTTAAAATATTAAAATATATATTTACACATTCATAGCTATTGCTGTTTTCATACCAGGTGATTGTAAATGTACAAAAGCAAATGAACGATCTTGTGTTAATACTTCAGATGTTTGTTTAGGTAAATAATGTGCAACATCACTTAATTTACGACCAAGATAACCCATCCATGTTGCTTCTTCAGGTGCTCTGACATATACACACACACACAAAAAAATACAATAAGAAATTATTTATGAAAAAACAAAAAAAAAGAAAAATATTTACTTTTCTTTTGGATTAGCTAAACGAAATATATGAATTGTTTCTGTATTGCTTGATGCTGCTAAAAACATTGAATCAGGACTGAATGCTAATGAATATATAGTAGCAGCTCTAAAAAGAATATTTTTAGAAATTAATATTATATTTCTCTATAGTTCAATTTATATTATTGTGTGGAACTTAGTTTCAGCTTACTAGGAAACTACTTCAATTGTAATCCACCATTTGAACTCATATTAGACCTACAAGAAGGTCTTGGTAAGATTAGAAAAATGGTGTCTATGGGTCTCTGGAGCCATGTTTTGATTGTATTACTAAATTTTACGTTTTTAAGAGTCCCATCTCAGCTCAGGAACATTCAAATGTCATGAAACTTTGAGAATATATTGGGGGTGTGAAAGGATGTCTGTGGTAAAATTCTCAAACAAGGATCGAAAAATAGCTTATCGCGCCTCCAAAAATTCTCTGTAGGTATTCGTTCAATATCCTTGATTGTTTTTTTGTTTGAAAGAGCATGTCCGAATGCAGTGTCTATGAGGGCTCTTTTTTTTACTCTTATCTTTCTGGAGAAAAAAAGGTCTGACAAGTTCAATCACTGAAAAACCTCTTGAAAAAAAATGGCGCTCATATTATAAAGTTGCTTATCAATATAATAATAACAAAATTTTATCAAAAAAAAGGACTCTTATAGCCACTGCAGTTTTTGATGCTCTTTCAAATAAAATATTCGACTTTATATTGGGTTATAGTTAACTTTCGCTGGAGATGTGTCGCTCGATCACCATTTTGCGGAAAAACGAAAAAGAGGTATCGAAGAAAAGTTTTTATCGTTTATGAAAGAGCAAATGATAGGTTATCTCTCCATGTATTTATCTCAATCTTGACCATTCTGACGAAAACTAACTTTTTTGAGAGGAGTTCCCCTTAATGAAAAATCACATAATGGAATTTCGTCTTGAAATTCAATGTATAGGGATTAGTCTAAAGATTTTGTAAAATAGTCATAACTCAGTTCTAGAAGTCTATGTCATTGACCTGCAGATCGATCTGAAACAGTAAAAATAGAATTTTATCTTGAATACATTGTTCGAAAGATCTTTCCATGTAGATTCTGCATAGATATTCTTAATTTATATCATCTATTCAAGATCGAACATTCTTTTCGATATTTATAAATCTTATTATAATAACTACATTTTTATTCTTATAAAAATTTTAATCTTTATATTACCGTCGTACACCTCGACGAAATTCAAAAAGTCGTGTACCATCAACAGCACTATGAACACGAATGACTGTTCCCTTTGAAAAAAAACAAGTCCATAAATATTTTCAAATATTCCAAATACTTTATTTGATGCTGTTGCTAATTTTGTTCCAGTCATATCAAAAGCTATTGCAGCAAGTGGACTTTCATGAGCACTTATCATAACACCTGATTTCTATATATATATATATATATATTAAAAAAAATCTAATGAATAAGAAATGAAATTTTATTTAACAAACTAGATTTAATGTATCAAAAACTTGTACTTCACCAGTTAATGAACTACCCGGATAAGCTAAATAAGAATTTTCACTATTTGATGATAATGCACAAAGACCTTCACGATTTGATGGTACATCTCGAATTGTATGTAAAACTTTCATATCTCGCATATTATGAATATAAATACTTTCTTCTAAACAGACGATAAGTCTCTAGAAGACAAAAACAATAAAATAAAATGTTTTTATTTTTTTTAATATATATATATATATATATTCATTTACCAAACGATTAAGTTTAACAGCAAGTATTGTATTAGCAAATGAATATGAACATATTTCTGTTCCTTTTTTAAAATGACAAACTTTTAATTTGCGTGGTGCTTGATTACTAACAAGTGCTGTTAATGAACTTGAAAATAGACGTTCAATTATACATACATCATCATAAGCTAAAATATATTGAAAAAAAAATAAAGAATATTTAATTATTAAATACTCCTATCCTATTTCAATTACTAGATAATATTTCATTCAGATGTAAAATATCTTTTCCCGAGAGAATTTTAATATTTAATATCTCTATAGACAAGAAATCGACAGGGAACAATTGAGTAAATTCCTTCGTTAGCTGTTATGTAATTTTGAATATTCTCTATGGATATTATTAGTCTTTTTCTCTATGATGAAAATTTTGTCAACCTGTAAAGTGATCCACAAAAATTTAAGATACTTTTATTTTTGAAATTTTTCATCGAAGATGAGTAACTTCAACAAAATAAAAAAGTGTCTTAAACTTTTTACGGTTCATTTTAAATCGCTAGAATTCTAATCTATCGAATAAGTTACATACAATTATTCATTTAACTTACCACAATCATAGATTTCATCAATTTTGTTATCTGGACTAATAGTAAATAAAGCATAAGTTTTTCGTGTACCCATTGCTAATGATCTATTAATAATCATAATCATTAATAGAGTTTTCCAGTGAAAAAAACCTTACGTGCAATCTTGATTGAATGTTAATGTAAGAACTTTATATTGCGATAGAACATCATTGTCTGTTGAACCATCATTACTAGCTCCTGTAATACCACTACTCGCTCCACCACTAGGTCTATTCACTAGTGTACTCATAATTTTTTTGTCTGATTCTTTTATGAAAAACAAAAAACCAAACAGAAAGCACACTATTGATAATAAAACATATCAATCTGGAATAAAAAAAAACAAAAACAAAAACAAATTAACATTATTTTTGTTTGATGTAAATTGGCATTTTGGTTTTTTTTTTATTTTGCTGGTTTCAATATATGAGATAGAAATAAATAAACATGAAAAAAAAAATTTTTTTTCAATGGGATCAAACTAAGAACCTTTTTCACATGAACATATTTCACATATCCGAGATGAACCATCATTAATAAAAGTACATCGTGGACAATTCCATTGAGATAATGAAGATGTTAAATCACGTTGATCTTCAAAATCCATATATGATGGTCGATTACCTGTTACAGCAGTTGGACTAGGACCTAAGAAAAGAAAAATATTAAATATATATAGAAAAATTTAGATTATTGATTTTTTTACTATGTGTTTGTAGAACTTGAACTATTGTTTGCCAATCAGAACCTTCCATCCAAGTTTCAACACCATTAAGATCATTCGTACGTATAGAATCGAGTAATGGATCGAGTTGATCCTAGAAAAAAATAAAATAAAATAAAACTTATAAAAAAAAGATCTTTAAGCGTAACTGTTCATTTTCAAGCTCAGCTTTATGTCAATTTGCAGAGCTTGATAAGCTGATATAAATGCATTCTACCATTTATAGAATGTCTAGTTTGATTTTCCTGATCAGATGAAAAAAACAACAGAACGTGTCTGAGTAGAAAAATACATATAAAAATGCTTAAAAGCATAATTATCTTATCTTTAAATAGTAAGATAATACATACAAGTTTGTATTGGAGAACGATAGAAAATAAAACAAACCCTCTTGTCGAAAGCAAAAGATACTATTTTTATTATTCCAATATTTGAAATTGTTATTTCTATATATTGCAATAAAATTTGTGAATATTTTCCGATTTTATCCCTGATTATTTAAACCAAGAGAATAATCTCATCATATCAACTTACAGAAGAAATAACTAAAGTAATGGAAAAAAGTTTAGAAACAACGATTTTTTTGGTTTTTTTCATAATGTTAAGCATGTAGCTCCAATCCAAATAGTGATTTTAATAACCAATGAAGTTTTCTATACAATACCCTTTATAGCAAGATTTCACAGATGATTCTGGGAAAAATGAGGGGTCGCTGAGTTTTCTACGACCTTCTCATAAAAAGTTACAAGTATCACAAAAATCGTGAAAAAGGCGTTTTTAGTCGATTTTTAAAAAAATTTCGTTTTTTCATGATTTTTGTGATACTTGTAACTTTTTATGAGAAGGCCGTAGAAACCTCGGTAACCCCTCATTTTGCTCAGAATTTTGCGCTCTTTAAGATAGTGCCGTTTAAAAATAGTTCTAACAAAGTCTTCTAGAACCTGAAAAGTACCGTGTTCGGTTTTTTAAGAGCCTTGCCACCATTGTTCATCTTACTATAAAGTGTATTGAATAGAAAACTTCATTGGCTATTAAAATCACTATTTGGATTGGAGCTACGTGCTTAACATTATGAAAAAAACCAAGAAAATCATTGTTTCTAAATATTTTTCCACTACCTTATATCATTAATCAAATAGACGAAATGGATTAACGTATCTAGAAATAGTTCGGATTATTTCTAAGTATATAAAAGAAAAAGCATTCCATAAAGAAGAAATTTCTGAGAAAGTGTAGGTGCACGCAAATTCAACTCATCGAACTAAACTCTCTGAAAATTTTTTCTTCTACTACTGAAAATTTCGTTCATAAAATGTTTCCGGACAGCTCAGTTTCGGTTAGACCCCGTTGGGTCTATCGAATATAAATTTCAGGATCATATTTGACTCCGGAAGGGAAATGTATGCATATTTGTAGGGGAAGACTTATCCCCTTCCGGAGTCAAATTCTTGTAGTCATTCTTTTTTTTTGTGGAAAAGGTCTATCGAGTTCAAAAATTTCTGAACTCGGACTCGATGGTCTTTACTATTGATTAAGGAAATAAATGAATTATTTCTTACCATTGAAAATGAAATAATATCATTGACAGCCAAATATCTCAATAGATGAATATCAGCTAATATATCTGTTGCTTTATATTGACTTGTACCTGCTGTTGTTATACCAGCATTAGTAGTTTTTGAAAATTGTTGTAAATATGATGCTAATGCATTCATATCCTATGATTTAAATAGAATATTATTTTTATATTTAATATTAAAGAAAAAAAAAAAAAAAGAAATTTTTTATTTTACTTGTAATTCTCCAATTTGCATTCGATTTTCAACACAAAATGGTGTTTTTATTGTTTTACAATCATCATTAAATGTTGATTGTATTTGTGCATCACTCGATGGAAAACCTGTTGGAACATCAATAATAAGATATTCAAGTGGTAATGGACGTGCTATTTTCATTATTTCATTATTATATGAATCTTTTTCCTTTAGAAAAAAAAAAAAAAAAAAAAACATTTTTTTTTCTTTTAATCTCATTTCATTTACTTTATAATAAACATCAGGAACATATTGTTCTGAACTTGTTTCTCTAACATAACCTAATTCAGGTGCATCATAAGTTGGAAGTAAAATTTTTGATTTAACTAAAGCCATACATTGATTTGAAACTTGATAACCTTCAAAATGTATTTGACCTGATACATCACCAGTAACAACAACAGTAACAAATTTTGAACCAAAATAACCATCTGGAGAATATTTGCATACATTTGGATGATTATTTTGCAACCAACCAGCCATTATACATTCTTGTGCACTTAAAAAATATGAATTCTATATGACAAAAAAAAAACAAGTTGACCAAATTTCACATCCTTTTTTTTTTTGGTTTATTTATTCATACCACATTGCCACGATGATGAAGAACAGGACCACTACCTGATTTACTTTCATCTGGTACAAGATCAGTAAAAATCCATCCAATACGACGAATATTAAGACGACGTGCTAGATCATCAATAAGTGCTTCATGTGGATCAGGAAGATTTAATTTAACACTATCTCTTGATGTTTCCTAATATACAACAACAAAAAGAAAAAAGTTGATTTTTCGAATAAATTTTTTCAACAAACTTGTGGTGGTTCATAAATAGCTGCAACAACTGCACGAACACCTAATGGTACACCATCATATACTTCATAACGACCATAAAGAAAACCAATACGTTGATGACCTGATGAACGCCAATAATTTAAAAAACGATTTACCATATTTCCATTCTCAAACATTATATTGTCTACATGACGATAAGGCTAAATAAAAAAAAAAAAAATAATTTGTTTTTTATCATACACATTAAATTAATTCCTATTGAGAAAGATTACAATGAATATTATGATTTATGGTTGTTTTACTGAATATTAGTTTAATTCGATTAATAATTTATTTTATGCAAAAAAAAATTACATTTCATAAATTATCGAATCTTATAGTTGCTTTTTCTATTACAATAGTCCGAATGAATTTTACATATATATATTTTCCTGTGACAACGACGACTAACTTATAATCTAATGAATTCTAATCATTCATCAGATACATCTTATTTTTTCGTCAATGTATTAATAGTAAAAAGGAAGGATATATTATTTATTAAATTACCTGACGCATAAGTGTTACAGGATTTGGTTGACATTTTGTACAAACACCTAGAGAAATATTTCATTAATATATCAATAATATTAAATATTTACCTTTTGGCCAAGGTGCATGACCAGTGGCACATTTTTCTTTAATTGAACAACTAATATTCTCAAGACTTGCAAATGTAGTTCTATAACAAAACAAACAAATATACAATAGTCAACAAAAAAAGTCTTCGTTCCAGCAGATCTCAATCACTGTATATGCTGGAAATGTGAAAAAATATTGTATATGTATTTCACCAAGAATCATTGAAACATTAGAGACTCTGAGAAGACAACGTTATCTTCATTGTTTTGCTTATATCTTCATCATTTTTCATTCGTTTTCTTATCTCATTTGCAAGAGCACATACAAACTGAACAAGTTTTACAATAAAAAGAACGTTTTGTAGAATTTCACGTTTTTTGACAAAGCCCTGACTGGAGGATAGTGACCTGCGGAGTCAGGTTTTTTTATTCCAAAACCCAACTCCATAAAACTCTGAAATTTTTTTTTTGAAAGTAAACAATCTCTAATGTATTTTATTGTTTAACTTTGAATATGTATAAATCGATAAACAATCAAAGGAATAAAAGAAAATCAAAAAAAATATAATAACTAGGAAGTCTTCAACATGTACTATGCTCAAACAATAGAGTCGATTTCGGAGTCAACTAAATTTTACACTAAAAATTTTATTTTAGCGCAGAAAACTTTTTGAATTGTAAGTTTTGTTTTCTAATATTTACTGTATAAATTGATGCGTTTTGGAGGTTTCAACGATGTGTTATCAAAACCTATGGACATGAAAGAAAGTCGGAGTTAAGTTCCACTCCGATTTAGACTTTCTTTCATGTCCATAGATTTTGACAACACATCGTTGGAACCTCCATAATGTATCAGTTTTGTACACTAAGTATCAGAGAACAAAACTTATAATTCAAAAAAAAATTTCCTATGCTAAAGGAAAATTTTTAGCATAAAATTTAGTCGACTTCGTACAGGACTCTGCCAAGCAATTGATAATTGATGATGACGCGGATTATTGTACTTTGGATGGCACTGAAATATGTTTTTATTAATGGTATCATGTTTTTTTGAGGTTGATCTTTCAAATGCTATAGCCAAAAGGTGACCCATTTTTTTTTGTTTATTAATATAGAAAATAAAGTAATTGTAGTGTCAAATTACAAAAGTTCATTAGAGATTGTTATAATTTCGACTTTGAAAAATTTTCTCAGTAAATCCGACTCCGTCGGAGTTGGAATCGAGCTTCAGAGTCGCCCGCAGATCTCTACTGGTGGATCACGAATAAATTTTCCGACGAAAAGATATTTGAAATATCCATAAATCAACTTAGGACTTTTTTTCTAACTAAAATCTGCTAAATACTAATCTAAAAGACACAAACTTCTATTTCAGGAATAATGCATCTTCCTACAACTCGTGACATATGTTCTTGATATACGATCAATGACATCTCGTTACTTTCTTATTTCATCTCGAGAGGATTAAGTATAATGAATATGAAGAAATATGTTCCAAAATATAGAGAATAAAGAACACGTTCTGTGGTCAGCAACAGCAGCTAAACCGTGTTTTGTCTCCGTTTCTCATGTTTCAACACTTAAGATTCCAGTTTGATGTGAGGAATCGATTGATGTAACATTTAATTTTCGATGAGCGTATGTAGCTTCTCTTAATATAATGCTAATGAATCATATTCTTAGTGAAATCCGTATACATAATTATTTCTCAAATCTATTTACCTATCACTTGCCGCTGAACTTTGTAATTTTCTAATATAAGCTCTAAATGACATATGTTTAATAGGTGGATTACGATTTTTTAAAAATTCTTCGTCATATGGTTCAATAGGTATACAATGTAAACATTTTCCATGTACATTATGATGACATCTATAAATAAAAACAATTTTCAGAAAAAAAGATAATTTTTTTTTTTCAAAAATTTTCTTCTCATACAATTGTGGATTACGTTTTCTTGGTATACGTCCATCCATTTTATCTAATTGTATATCAACATCATCTTCTTTAATATCTGTATTATTAATTGTATTTAATTTTCCCATATTATTTGTTTGAAATGAACCAATTTTTGGTGATGCATAACTATTTCCATTTGTTGGTGTATCAGATTTAAAATCAAGTGTACCATATGATGATGATGATGATGCAGTTGTATCTGTTGGAAATAAATTTTCACGTTCAGCAATTAAATAAATCATATCACCATGTTTAAAATTTGTTCGATTTTGTGTTCGTCCTAATGACGATTGTTTATTTTTTTCTTTATATAATGTAAAATCTTCAATTGATGCTAATGAAAATGCTTGTGCAACCTAATAGAAAAATTTTCTTTGAAAGAAAAATATTTTTTTATAAATTAAATTTTACTTACTTTTTGATATATAGTTTTATATGTATCTTGAGAATTAATATCAACACGTTTTGTACCGTCAGATGATTGAACACGGAGAATCTAAGAAGATTAAAATTAAAATAAAAAGATAAATATATAATTTTTTAATCTTACAGACGCTTTTGACATTTTAAATTAAACTAAAACAACAATTTTTTTTGTTATCTAAAGAGACATGAAAAAAAAACTATTACGTGTTACATAGAAATAATCTAGAAGGTAAAGAATAAACGAATGAGTGAATCTATATATTGTTGTTGCGAGAGACCGTGTGACAGAAACATAAATACATTGGTTGAGTCAGCTGATTGAATGACATTTATTTACTTGTTATTTTTTTAAGTTTATTTTTTTGTAATTAAATGAAATGAAATTATCGAAAAATAAATTAGATTTTATTGACGAAAAAGAAAGCATTACAAAATTCATGGTAAAGGTCATGGACGATTATTTGATTGGTTAAAAAAATAAATAATCAACTGTTTGTTTATTAAGTAGAAATAGAAACATACATTTATTTTCATAATAATTATTCATCAATACACTCATGACTTAAATGTGATTGTCGAGAATATTCGTAATTTTTTATTTCGTATGAAATTATGTAAAAGAAAATCATGGATGAAACAATTTAAAATATTTTCATTTCGGACACTTCTACAGATTGATGACATCCAGTATACACTAATGGACAAAGCATATCAAAGAGTGCGGATACCACGGTGTTGCTCATCTGCAGATGTACCAAAACTTTGTTCAAACATTATTTTAAAAAGAAAATGAAATAAACTTCATTCAATACACTATCGAATCAATAGGAAGTGAAGACGTGCTAAATCATCTTGAGAATATAAAATATTATATAGTTTGTATCATACGACTGCATTTATGATACCATTCAGTATTTCCCATAGTTAAGAGTTTGAGAAAAAAAACGAAAAAGATAATCTATGGATTTAACTCTTTGACGGTGGGCTTACTTTTATAAAAAAAAAAGATGTTATACGTTGAAAACTATTGGTAATCATAATTCTTGCACTTAGACTTGATTTAAATATGCAATACTATTATCAGTGACATCTATGT